CCCCACCCCCACCCCAGCCTGAAATCTCAGACCTCACACCAAGTTCAACAGCCCAGGTGGGCAGGAGTTCATTTGTCCCAAACATACATTGAAATGCAGACTTGGTGTTTGTGGGTTGAGAAAACTTCCCAGGGGGATCCCAAGCTCCTAGATCTGGAAAGCACCTGGATGGAACATCCCCTGGTGCTGAGAATGTTGAGGCCACAGAGGGGAAGAAACTCACAAGACTGGTACAGGAACCTGGACTATTTTGATGACAGCAGGCACTATTTGGAGTTAGACTGTCATTAAGCTGGAGCCAGTGGGGCTTGGCTAAACTTTGTCCCCGGGAAAGGCCAGATTCCTGCAATCAGCAGGGGTGAGGAAAAGACCAGGCTTTAGAGCCAGAGAAAACTGGGTCCCAATCCCTGGCTTACTAGTGAGCAGGTGACCTTGGGCAGATGAATCTGTGTGAAGCTGGGTCCTCTCTACAATGTCATCACCAATACCTATCACTTACCATTGCTGTGCAGATGACATAGGACTCTGTATGTCAAGTACTCGGCAATGGTGGATTGTTATCATTCAGCCCTTCTCTTCCCCACCCTTCCCCTAGGTGGTCCCTGGGGGGTGAGGGCAGAGGGTGAGCCCAGTGCCAGAGGAGGGACAGGATTTGACCTGTGGATAATGGAAAGGAGGGCTGGCTATATGTGAGCGGTGGACTGGGAACAAGAAAGAAACTTCACAAATCTGCCTGAGGCTAGTCCAACCCACAGAGCGGATACAAACAGAGGCTCACTGGTACCAAACTTACACCCACCTAGGCAAGCTCACCCACACCCCGCAGGGACTCACAAACATGGAAGGATAAAGTGTCCCGGCCTCACAAGGAGCTGTGTAGACAGTGCCCTAGAGTGCCGTCCAGGTCCTGTTTGTCCTGCCAGTAAACATCACACCTGGCTCAAAGGACATCATTAATTTTGCAGGAAGGACTGAGTGTTTGACAATGAGGGGGTCAGAGGGGTGCCCCAGGAAAGCTGGTACAATTCCAGAGCCAGGGTCTTTGCGACAAGACTGAAGACGCCAGGCTGAGCAGGGTGGTTGATGGAGCCGGGCAGTATAGCTATTAGTTAGCCTGTTAGTACTTCAGGCTGGGTCAGCCAGGAAAAACCTAGGGACATAGGGGCAGTTAGCAAGTAGACGTTTGCAGGGAGACAAAGCTGACAGGTTGGGAGGCCAGATCAGCTCAAAAGGAAGATGCCAGGCTCTTGTTAAGAATTTCAAGACGGTGACAGCAGCCGGGAAGCCAAGAGTGGGGCCTTTGTAAACGTGGGGTCCTGAACACGGGTCACACACCCATGAGGCTGGCCCTGGAAGTTAGGTCACAGCCCTAGAAATGTGAAGCATCCCCTAGAAGAACATTTTCTCCATCTTCCAGGCTAAACTAGATTCTCATAAGAATGAGATTTTGCATTTTAACAGAATTGCCAAGAAACAAACGAAAAAATCAGCAGAAAGCAAAGGAGTGGGATACAATGAATGGAGAGCAGGCCCAGGAGAAGTGAGCCAGGCTGATGAGAAGGTGGCCTGGGCCTTTACCCACGACTCTGCAGAGGAGACGCTCAGGACAAAACTTGTCTCAAAGCAACTGCTAGCAACAATTTGCTCTGAGGATCTCAGATGCTTATTTAGGGAGCTGACTGGTAGAAAAAAAAGGATAACATTTGGAAGCAAAAGAGCAAAGAAGGTTGAGGAATCCTTGAATTTGACATAAGGAGACATTGCTCTCCGTCTGAGCTTAGGAAACTTGGGGGCGTACCCGAAGGCAGACGAATGGCCAGGATGACCTCATGAACCACAAAAAAAAAAAAAAAAAAAAAAA